AACCGTGTCTGCAACATTCAAGTTCCAGAATACAATGGCATTACTAGGTGAAGTATTCTAGGATATAATTTGGTTATTTATTCTCTGAAGAAGTGACTTACACTAAGCCACGAAACGTCAGAAAATCCTATTTTCTACTCATTGGGATATTACAAATATATTATTTTTATTTATAACAATCAACCCAATGCTCAATTTATTCGAAATTATCAAATCAAACCTTGGTAATGGCACCTACAATATTCTAGGATAGTTTGCAATAAAAAAACACTCCTGTCGCTGTTGACATATTCACAACACACTGTGCTGGTTTTAAGACATAAATATATTAGCACTGTATTCAGCTGTGTCGTTTGGTATACAAAATTGTTAATTCGCTTCATTAGTTGTGAATATTTATTTTAAGCAACTCTAGTTCATCCAAGTAGTTGGGGCAAGTGATTTGAGCAGTCAGGTTGTATGAATTAAAACCTATTCAGGAGTACTACTGTGGTCTAACTGGTTAGTAATTACTCCCAGTCGTTGCGACTCTATTTCTTTTAGGTCCCGTTGTACTTGACTGTCATGTTTATTGAGCACAGAGTAATGATCATATGACCTGAAGCCTACATTTTCATACGAATATATTTACTATTAACAGACAACCCATATACCATGGATGATTCGATCAATCGCATTTTTGGCATGAAATTACCGCTATTCTGATCTTTGTTGCTGACTATCCTTTAACAGACCTCTATGAAACAGCTAGGCAGTGATCTCATTGTAAAATGCAAATATCTTATGCTGAGATGTCAAAATGATAAGGATACATTATGCAATACAAAATTTCATTCTGAAAATGATATGATTAGCCCCAGTATGTACAATGAATATATAACTTCAATTTTATGAGATCGCCAACTAATTACGGATAATTAAATGGCATAAAAAATGCAGATCAAGCACAATATTACCATTGAAGTGACTCATACCATGTTAATAACACCATATGCAAATGGTTTATTTATTGTCCGAATGTATGGTGTAAATGTCCTTTCATTTGAGGCATTGAATCCAGATGCATATACACATTGTATGTGCATGGACAATATACCTGTCCTCAACTTTTATGGTCAATGTAGTCTATGGGTCAAGGTTATAACATGTGAATTCGTCGCCTCTATTGGATGTCAGCTAACAACTGAGCGTAATATGACAAGCTCAACTGACCAATCAGAGTGAGAGTAGACACATATAATGTTCATAGCATGAATTTCACGCTGACATTGTTCATGCCTAGGCTAGCATTGACATATCGTTACTGACTATAGGATTGTTTAGTCGGGCACGTTTCAATTAAGTCTATTCCGGAATTATTCCTGATATCTTCGATACATGTAGTGTCCATGTGAAATTTTTCTCGGATTAAGTAATGTCTATATCATGTGCTGGATGCGGTGGTCCCATAGTAGAGAAAACTCTGTTAAATGCAATCGATCGGTTTTGGCACACTTCCTGTTTGAATTGTTCTTGTTGTGGTCTACGGCTTGATGAATTAGGACCTTCCGTTTTTGTTCGCTCAAATATGCTGTTATGTCGACAAGATTACCTTAAGTAAGTTTATCATCTAGATTATTAAGAATAACTTCACTAGTTTACCTATCCATCGTTATTTTTGTATCCGTTTTGTTGTGGCATGCTATAGTAACTAAGTTTTGCACCTTAATTTGTAGCGAATCTTAAACCATCTGGTTTAGCTCCAGATTATATTTAGTGATGTCATGGAGACCGATTCTTCATTCAGCCCTTGAGTAATATTAATAATGTAAATTTGACGGAGTAGTGACTGGCAAAGCGTTCGACTTTCAGTCTGATTCGAACTGCTCTATACTTCAGTTTGATCAAATGAGTAGCATTATTAGCTTTCATACGTACACTAGCCAAGAGTCAAGAACACAGATGTAGCTGGTTGGTGAGTTAATAATAGTAATTAGTAATCTGATCGCAATGAAGCAAATGCATTCTTCCTGTGGGTTTAAAACGTCGTGTTATCCTACATACGAGTCGTATATTTTGATACGTCCTAACTTGTTTTAACTTTTGCTGGCTCACTAATATTAGTATCCTCTTTATTAGTTTGTCCAACTTCATGTTACTTTGCTATTTGCCTCTGTAAAATACCACTATTAAACATCGTAAGTGTACAATCGATGAGTTGATAAACTCTCAGATCTAACTACTTCACATTTTGTGACGAAAAGACATAGATTTATATCACTTTTCAATGACAGAAAATCATTCGATTTGGTTGAGTTTTTTCAATGTATTACTTCTAGTGTTATATATTCATCTCATCTTCAAGTTTGTACACTCAACTTCAGGCAAAACCTTTTAAGGGTTAATGAAACTACACAACTCCAAACCAAATATTAGGTGATCTAATCAAAAACCTGTCGGTTGAATATCTGTTGACTTAATCACTAAGCCACCTGGAAGTATCGTCGCTATTTTTTTCTACAGAATATATCACTTCGAATCACTACTTTATTCCTACTTTTATTGTTATTGTAGCTATATTACCAGTTTCTGCATATTGTGCGTAACTATCTTCGATGCTACATATTGGTTAAGCTTTTAGATCTGTCTATCAATTAACGGACGAATATACTGCGCAGCAGTTCGTTCTGTTCTACTTTACAGCTGCAAGATGTGGTCATTAAGAGTAAGATATACTCTTGAGCTACTAGTATTTGATCACATGTCTTAGGAATATTGCTCGCATGTGCTGGGATCACCAGGTAAGTAATATTGAGGTTAGACGCAGGGTTTTAGGGAATGATGGTAAATCAGTTGATGAGGTTGTTAATCTTCATCGACTGAGATGGTTGGGCCACGTGTTACGTATGCCCGAACACCGATTACCACGACGTGCAATGCTATCCGGTCTTGGAGATGGTTGGAAGAAAGTTAGGGGCGGCCAAACTAAAACGTGGCATCGGTGCTTGAAGACACTAACTTCTGGTCTGAGCCATGTTGGTGGCGCATATATATTGGCGCTCTCTTGTACCAATATTTATGTGTTCAAATAAATAAATAAAATGGTAGATGCAGACTACTTGGTTGGGGTTCGCGTGACTTTCGTAACCGATGGTTGGAGGCTCTTGGTGACATGGCTCAGAATCGATCACAATGGTGTAAGTGTATACACTCCCTGTCTTCCCTTAAACTAAGAGATTAAAATCACTTCATATCTTTCTTTCTACTAACTACTTCTTTCTTCCTGTACTGTATCCTTATATGCAATCTTTCTCCTATATATTACCACCTTTGGCCTAACCACTCCTATGAATCCGGTGTTCATCTTGCTGTGCTATTGAGGTATGGCAACCTGGACTGGTGCACATATGTGCCTGGTCCTATGTTGTAACTGACTGACTAGATTCAATTTATTTTCTACTTATGTCTCTATCGTTTACAGTTGAATGTCAATCGTTTCATCTTATTCTTGTATTTTGCTATTTCGCATTTGCTAAGTAGAAATAAACAAAATTCTCTTCATATCGGAAAACTGATGAACGAAGGATTTTTTCCATTAAGTTCTCATCAGGTTCTATAGTTAAAAATCAGAAATACGATCAAACTCGCAATTGGGAGCTCGCTTATCGTATCTGGCTAAGTAGTCTGATTTGTAGTGAATTTAGCAATATTTTCATCCACTCTTAAAATATAACTTGCTTTCTTTGATATTAAATTAACGAGTTTATGATGACTCTTTAGCCGATGTTCTTAGTGTTTTTCATTTACTTTGGAATATTCAAATACCACTTATTGCTTTTGTTTAATTCCGGACTTACGATTTTATAACCAAGTTTCTTTTCTGTTTGGCATTAGTCATATTGTAGTAGTAGAAGATAACTTTAAATGATTTCATTTCACTTTCTCGTTGCACCATTTCTAAGGATTATTAACTAATTTCCAAAAAATAGCTGTTCAAGCATTCACTCTTCCTGCTTCTGTTTGGGCATCCGGACAGTATCGTAGCCCACACATAAATTTGGCGCACTCTTGTACCACACATAAACCAATTGACTTATGTGGCGCATATGTATTCAGTTCCCTTTTCTACCAATATTTATGTTCAAATAAATAAATAATAAAAATAGATGAATCTTATAAATCACGGTATTGAGTGCCTGATATTATCACCAATCATCGGAAAAGCAATATGGCTCAGTAAAGTACACAATTGTTTTATGTGGTTCTGACTTACCACTGTCGACTACTAAAAGTTAAAAGTGCGGCTCAGAATCGTCTCTATTGGGTAACATTTTCTTGCCCATTCTCACATTTCTCCAACTTTCACTTAGTGTACGTAGATAGACAGCACACTTGGTAGTAGAAATTAATCAAATCCGTATATTACAAGTTTAAATCTGAATTCGTAGTTCGATCATATTTCGCTTTAACCAATCTTAAAATTAAACAGCTTCTATTGTTTGATCTCCGTAGTATACTACCGGATAATTTTATAATCGAGTCATATTTAGAGGCACTTTGTGGTTACTCGATGGTCTTTATAGACCTCCAAGTTGTGCAAACTTATTTCCTCTAGATGTATCCCATCATATTTGAAGTTCAGCTCTATTAAACAACTGCACGGTTATTTTTAAAAAGTAATTTCATACTCGTTTGTTAATTTTTGTATAAAACCATCGGATTAACTATATACTCTATTTTGGTCTGACATACTCTTTTTGTAAATTAGTTTTCTCTTATTTTCTAATGAACAAGTTTAGCCTATTAATTATCCTTTCTTAATTAGCTTCTCGCATGGTTGCTTCTATGTACGTATGCTGTATACTGTCTTGTGCACATATAAACATGCTTAGGTAGTTACGCGTTGTTAATGTGTAAGTGACATACCTTTGTAGTTACGTTAATTAAGAAGCGTCTAACCTAAGTTGATACATAATGCTATTCCAACTCTTCTCTGCTATGGTATTGCAATATATATATATATATATATATATATATATATAAACATTCCCTCAGTATCATACCATTTCATTTCATTGTATCCCCCCTTCTCCATGGTCTTGTCACTTCCTCATCTCGTTTGTTTTTGATTTCTTTTTGTCATGTTTGTTACCACCAGACAAAAACCAAGTTAGAGAAATAGCGGAAAGAAGGTAAGTGATAGGACGAAAGTAATATTTCTGATGCAAAAAATAATGGTGCCTAAAATTAGTTTTTTTTATCTAACTGTTTATTGGAAAACTGAATATAATAAATGGTAGAGGAAAACAAGGTAGATGCCAGTAAACAAATAAACTCATCACAAATAGTAATCATAGTCTACCAGCTAATTAACTTTTAGAAAACTCATTTAAACTTAATTTATACGTAAATTACTTATTTGTTTTCTATACGTACAAGTTTGGTTGTCCGTATATACTTTATAGTATAGACATAATATGATTGTCTTTTATAACACAAATTTTACCCACTAAACACTTGTTGGACTAAAACGTTTGAATCTTTCGTTAGCCATATTTGTTTATTTGGAGTTTACCTTTTAAATGAACTGGCCGATTTCGCTTGTTAAGGTCTAGTTTTATTTGGAGGGAGTTCTCGAAATCAATTTGCTATTCTAATAACTTGATCTACTTTTGTATTCCAGTTTCCTTTCTACTGATATTCAATGAGTCCTTTTTGTTGCGTATGCGTATTTAGTTTCTACTCCCGTTGTACATAAATTTCAAGTCTGTTAAAATTTATAATGGTTAAAATTAATTTCTATTTCACCTGACTAGTCATGTAATAGACTTTGAACCCCGACTACCAGAGCTAATGATTATTTTCCTAAACCGAAACGTATGGTTCAAGGAGACGACCAAATAGTTGAAGGATAGTTCGTCAAACAGATGAAAACTTCATATAGTAGCTAGAGCATTCAAATTTATTGTTGCAATAATTTTTGGATGTTCCCCTTTTGTTTTTGTAGACTGTTTGGCCTATCAGGAACATGCGCCAAATGTCGAGTTCAAATTCCTCCAGATGAATTGGTGATGAGATGTCAAGACAAAGTCTATCATGTGAACTGTTTTTGTTGTACTCACTGTCATTCTCTGTTGCACCCCGGTGATAAAGTGTGTTTTATGGATGGCAATTTATTTTGTGAGCATGAATTCCCTCATTTGTTTTCTGGGCCTCCCAAACTGACTTCACTAAGATTAACATCATCTTCTGCAAGTCCTTGTACTTCTAATGATTCTGATATTAGTCGTGGCCAAATGACCATTGAGTTACAAACAAAAATGAATGGTGCTTCATCTTCTAGATCTTTCAATATAAATCCCGCGTCTTTAGAGCAGCAACAACAACAGCCATCTGGTGCTTTGCCAAATAAACTCATATTTTCCCAATCCGATATTTTATCATCACTCAGTCCTCATCCATCCAGTCCAATTATGTCATTTCCTAATAACATGCAACCAAATCAAGATAATAATCAGCAACTTGTGCAACACGGGTTTTATGTTACAGACGTTGAGCAACCGTTCGGTGACACATCTAGTGTACAGAACTCATCCGAAAAACCTTTGAAATCATCAATGATTAACACGACAAATGAGACAACTAATGGTCGTAAAAAACAACAAAAAGTTAGTTAACTTGATAAGGTTTTATCTAGTATCACAAGATGTTTTCTTACAAAACAATAGCACAAAAGTCATTAATTCATACTTCCATTTAGATTGACAACTAGTTAATAGGAATTTATTAGTTTCAGTAAGTAAAGTTACGATTAGGAATTGCATTCGTACAAACAAATTTTATAATTCTGTTTCTTTTTGATCCCAGCGTGTACAATTATGATCAAGTGGATTATAATAAACTAGCATATTGACACATTATACTATTGGATTGCGCTTTGAATTATAGAGGTCTGGATCGTAAATTTACCACTATCTATTTTCAATCAGTATACACACTCTGTAGTCTGTCTAATTCATCTTCGTGAAGAAGAATGAAATTCCAGCTTTACACATTTGTAATTAGGGGATTTAATTTAGTTTGACATTTTATGTAAGTAGAGGAAAATAACTAAATATTTCAAAACATATGTATCTAAATAATAAATAACGTAAGTTGGGAAAATCCTGTATAATTTACATATTTTGTGAGATGTGAGTTCATAACACACAACATCCGAAAATATGTTTTGATGATCAAAAAGCTGATATAATATCACAAACTCGTCGAAATCGTAAAGTTTTGACGATTTAATTCTACTTAACTGGTTCAGGTATATCATGTCTACTGCGAGATTAGATTGTTCTGACTTCGATACTATGCAAGATTGTATACTCGAATTATTCAGGCTTCTAAATCTAAGGCATTAGTAATATTCTGTCTTGCCTCATTTCCAGCGATCATTCAACTAACATGTCAGCTTTATCTTAACAAACATACAAGCGAATAGTTTCAAAAGTATGTGACTGATCTGCAAATTCTCAGTATCTTTGTTATCTTTTATCTTCAGTTGATTGTGGAACCTTGAATTGTAGTTGTTTAAGAAAGCCACTTTCAGAGCATTGACCTCAGAACAGTTATTTTTTTGTTAATGAAATGGACTCTAATCTTTTTTTAGTTGGACACTTCAAAATTTATTGACTGACATCTAGTACGAAAGCTATCACGTAGTTTTAAAATAGATTTCCATGTGAAAGACTGCGAATTAATTAGTGCATTTCTCGCTTATATTGATTGATGCTAAGATAGTCACAAGATTAATCAAATTCTACTAGAAATGTCAAGAAATCTTCAGGAACGATAACTGCCCGCGCATTTTCACGCAAGACCTTTGCTCTCTGGTTGACGTTGCTCTTAGTTCGCTAGATTTCTATGTACTTGGAATTCATTTTACTACTATGGATACAATAGTTGTACTAACTCGTTCTGTGTTGCTTGTCCAACTTCAAACATCAAGTTCCCTGCAATCTGTTCTCTTTTCGTGTTAGCCGTCAGGGTTTAATGTGTCGTGTGTAAATAGCGGTTGTCGATTTTGATGATAACCTATCGTAGTAGAGTATCTTAATCGTTTTGTCCCTAAATCCGTAAACATTGTAGGCCCTTAATCAACACCAATAACCAGAAACAACAATTACAGATGAATTATCACTAAAGTATATTGAATCTTACGAATTTGGCTACTTCATTTACTCAGCATAGATTAAAATCCACTTGATTGGCCGTCTTAAAACAAATATTTCGTCTACTACTGGATAAAGTTGGAATGGAAATAATCTGAAAATAATCAAAAGTTAATATAGAATAAATAGTCAGTAAGGTCACTCATACTGTTGATTATTTGCTAAACTGTAGTCCGTGTACTTCCTAACTCAAGTGGTCTGTTTGTGTCGAGAAGACAATCGATCGTATTCTAAGGTTCAGTATTATATTATGTGTTCTTTCCGGTGTTTTCACTGCCACATAATTCTCTTACATCGACTTAAGCACCTAGATTATTAACTCTTATAATATTTCGGTTTTACACATATTTTCTCCAAATTCATCATACCAAAATTAATAGGTCTGGGATTTTGAAACAGCGTTACGATTTTTTACGGTGTATCTAGGTCATTTTTGTTGCTAAAGCTCAATTTGTATTTTATAATGTTTACTTGACTTCTTTCTTTACTTATAGAAAGTAGATAACCGTCGTTGCCCTGCGCTCCGTGTTTGTTGAGCTTGAAAGACTATATTGTGATTGGTCCTTTAGAACCACAATTCTTTTCGCCAATTTTTCAAAATTTTCTTAATGTAAGAATTGAACGTTTATCTTTTTCTGTTTCGTTTTTGTAATAAAAACTTCACCAGACTATTTGGAAATATGTACTATCAATTAAGACGTTCAATATTCATTATTCTTTGCTATAACAGTTTGTACAAATATTTTTTGTTCTATCTTTAATCCTGTTCAGATAAATAAGTGCTTAAATCTCATGTTTTAGAGAACTGACATTTTGTCGTGCTTTGCGTTCATTGGGAGGGATCATCTGCATGCGTCTTAAGAAAACATGTTTTTCGTTTGTACTTGACATTTACGTATCATAGTACCGCTAAAGTAATAAGATTTTACCAATTCTTAAAATCCTTTAATTAATACTTGTCGTTATAGCACAAAACAGTGCCATTCTGTGAGAGGATTTTATCTTCTACCTCACCGGGTGTCTGTTCAGTGTATCTTAATGCATGACAAGTGATTGCATTTACCCAATCCTTAGAATTGTCGTTAATTTGAATTCTTCAATCTTAACATATTCTTATTACCAAGGTTCCTCACAGTTTGACAGTATATAGTCTCCATCAAAAATTTGCCGTCAGAATTAACTAATTTAGAAACTGTATATCACGGTGGTGTTGTAATTATCTATGAGTGTAGATGGTGTTGTCAAATAGCTCGTATGTGACATTTGTTCAGTAAACACCAATTGTCGTGCTTCGGAATTTCCAACTTAGAAAGACTGTCGAATCTGTTATTCCTTTAAGGAAGTCAAGTTCCGAAAACCAGTATTTGTCCTACGAGATTCTTCTGAGATAAAGCAACATCTATGGAGTAATATACGTAACCATGGTATGGTTCAAATGGCCCGGTCTATTGGTTTACTTCCCAGGCTCTTCGTATATATGATTATTATGTATCTAATACGGTCGTAAATTTGATTGCATCGTAATATTTAATCGTTCATTCAACAAGTTGTGGTAATATAAAATATGTTTCACTAGACTCCAAGTGTCAGGATTAAAGTAACCATAAGTTTGATAACATTCTGTATTGATGTATGGGACCCTTATCAATTAATGTAATAAGAATAATTGGACGTATGTTGTAATCTGCCTGCGATACTTTTAAGCAAGAGTCAACTAGGCTACACGTCACACATGCAGTTGTTTAGAAGTAGAAATGCACTTGCTTATTTCCTGCTTTTCTTAACAAAAGTTTTCACTAAGACAAATGGAATCAGGCTACGATGTAATAGTCAACTTTGCAGAACAGACCCATATAGTTACAAGTGATTGATCACTGGGTGGTGGTCAATGGCATGTGTGTCAGGTTCTATCGACCAAGTTGCAATGTGGCCACTAGCCTAAGTGACTCGACATTGCGTGCACCATGTTGAGATAAGGTATACATGTAACCTTGAGGGAATTGATGCTTACTGACGGATTCGATCCCATATCACCCAGTCTTACAGTCAGAGGCGTTACCACTGGGCTATTCGGGCCGCGTCTGACCTGTACTAAGAAGGACTTGACACACATGACATTGATCACCACCCAGTGACCAATCAATTTTGAATACATCTCAATCCTACAGGAGGTCAGTCGCAGCCCGGGTAGCCCAGTGGTAAAGTCTCAGACCGTGAAGCTGGGTGATATGGGATCGAATCCGTCAGGGAGCATCAGTCCCCTCAAGATCACAGGCACACCTTGCTGGCGAGTTCCAAATAGCCCGGAACCTAGGTCCAGGGTTTCCTGTCGATTACCTCCAACGACCGTCTTGTCAGGCTCATAGATTCTTACTAAGCGACACTAAATGGTCTAGCTTTTATGACCTATCTATATACGAAATTGAAACTGTTATGATAAGAATTTAACTAAAAATTACTGCTGGTATTTTACGGCCTCATATTCATATACAGTACTCCCAAATAATAATCTTTTGAGTGAATCCGGGTTGTTAAGCAGTTGAAATCTAAGAAAAAATTAAATCATCCTAATATGGATAAAAACGTTGAAATGGTTAACAACAGAGTACGTGAAATAAAAGTGGGTTAGAGAAGAGACCAATTATATCATTGAAGAATAAATATAGTTCGGTGGAATAAATTTTCTTTTTGATGTGATATTTACTAAAGTCACAATCGTATTTAAAGTGATTTCCGAACACTGATATAATGTTTTCCATTGTTCAAAAGGCCACCACGATTGTATGGTTTCAGCAAATATTGGAGTGAAAATCCTATGTACTGAGTTATTTGTATAAAGTAAAATTGGAAAATATGCTTCGAACTAACTAAAATACAAAGTAAAATTTTAAGCTTTCATGTTTCAATAGAAATGGGAGTTGATTGTAATTAACAAAATAAATGACTAATAAAACCTGTTTTTGAAGAACTATTGCCTAATGATGATCAGTACAGACCATTGAAATCCAAGGATTTAATGATGCCAGTTAGGATTTGACCAAAATGGAATCAATGTTACAGGGTTCATAATACCCACAAAAGCGCTTGATGTTACTCAAGTCATGAAATGAAATAATCTAACCATTCTTAACATTTATCCATTAAAACTTTTACTTCTATCCTGGAGATACCCAATTGTTGGAGGAGTGTGAAGAGAGGTGTATGCTTGAGTATATGGAATAGATGAGAAATAGAAATGTTAGTTGGCGACTTATTGAACATGGGATACACTTTTAATGACGAGAACAATCACTAACAAATTGTAACGACGCAATGGTGATGTGGAAATAATCTGACAATTAAAACAATCAGTTATCACATAGGTTAAAAGTTCCTAATAAATTTGACTGCAGATTGAATAATAGCTGAACATGAATTTCCGATAAGTGAACATTTGATAGTTGTTTCCATTTGTTATACTATTTCTCAGTGAAACTTGTCAACAACTTTTCAAAATAAAAAGGATCAAGGGCCCTTAAATTTAATATACATAACAGTAAGCTTTTAATTGTAGGTCATGATTCCCAGTAATTAAGAATCGTGATTCCAGTTAAACATATGAAATAATGAATACTATTTTAAATTTCTGAAATTACATCAACAGAACTTCTACACAATAGGACACATTGAAATGGCGGTATAATGTATGACACTCAAGAATCCACTAGTACTGTGAAAAAAGTATATCCAAGTGATAAAAATTCAGTTATCAGAAACAACAGTGAGTATTTCATTTAAGATATCTGAATACGGTTGATAACGCGTTGAGAATTTGAAGCATAAGGTACCGAGTTCGAATTTAAGTGAGCTCTTCAGAATCGAAATAAAGTTACATACATCTAATAAGTTTCAAATAGGTTGAAATACGCTTCTAGATACTACTGCTAAACACATACGAATAAACTGAAATAGTATATCATATTTGTACCAGCGTGAATTCACAAAACCATGTCGAAACCAATGCCCGAATTAGTACAGCATAAATTGATTTACAAAAATCCATTAATCAAAACAGAATAAAAGAGAGTTCATACTAATAGTAATGAATACAGGTGGAGACATTCTTCATCAGATGATCTTCCTGAATACTTGTGAAACACATTTACGTAACATTTATTCATAATGATAGTTACTGAAGTGAATAATTATTTATTTCACCATTAACAACAATGTGATTTGTCTTCTTACATAAACCTAAATATCATCATCAGTTGTAATTAATATTGTTTAATTTATTAGTCAAAATTCTGTTTATTTTAAGGACTAGTGATTATTCTGTTCCTTTTTTTTAAAGCTGCTACCTAACTGATATATTTCTTCATTCGGATATTTGACTTTTACATTACTGTGATATTTAATATGTAAACGGTAAAACTAATAACATTTCTTCTTTTGATGAATCTTCTTAATAAGTTTTCTTTTATTTGTATTCTTAGATGAAAATAATACACATTGGTCATTCTGTGTATAACTAAATATACAGAAATTCTCATGATTTATATTTATTATATTAATTAGTTTTTGACGTACTGGTTTTTTGACAACACAAGTTTATTCAGATATAATTCCATAAAAATAATGATAAACTATACATTCGAGTAATTATAATTATGATTATTTGAATTTCGATTAAATCAGTATTCTATCAATTTTATCTACAATTTTCATCATGCAGTTTGTATTACTTGGATAATCATTTGATATGAAATATATACTATTAGTGTCATTGATATCATTAACAGATCTTAGCTAGACCACCCTTGAAAAGTTGGAATCATTCGACGGTCGTTTTGTCCCGGTGTGGAATCCCTCAAAAGTACACATCTAAGGACCCGAATGCCGATATCAAATACATGACCTTAAGCCTCGCACATAAACGTCCAACCATTAGATCACTGAATCAGTACCCAACGGTGTTGCGCAACCGTCTTTCAATGGTGGTCTAACTTAGGTCAGTTCATGATCCTAATCAAATTCTTGTTAGATGTCATTAATCATCGATTGACGTGAACTAAATTGACCTGACCGTGTATACATTATATAAGAAAAAACTGAATTTTTATTATGAACTGCTACTCAACAACAGATGACGCATATGCAATGAAGTTACCCGTTGATTAGCCTTAAAATAATTTTCTATTCACAGCTCTTACATTACAACTCAATGTAAGTGAGAAGAAAATGTGTGGGGTTCTTCAGATGAAATGTAGGTCGAAATCGATGTCTCGATATACTGACTTTTATAGATTTGTTTTTACATTGATTTATAGTCAAATTTTGAACAAACTTTAACTGAATAGTGTTATGTCTTGTGGTCCTGTTAATTATCACGTGACTTATCGCCAATTAAAACACCGACTTATTGACCAGACTAATGATGCATAAACCAGTACGAACAGCCTAGAGTCACTGCTAGTTCTTATTGGACTTTCGAGATAATGGCTTCTCGCCTAATCCAGCGCGTTCAGTTCAGAATACCAATATCAGCCTCCGTTATGTGAATCATGTATTTCAGAAGTACTTGGTTTATATACAAGCAAACCAGAAGCATAATGCCATCAAACAGAAAATAACAATTTTAAATGATCGAGCCAAAAAGTGGATGTGACTGTGAGAGACTGTAACTAATGAATTGGGAATAACTTGAGAATAGTAAATCGTATAATAGTAGTCAATAAGTCAAACGAAAGCTTATAATAAAAAGAATATTAATATACATATAACATAGTTAACTAACGGCTGTACAATAAAAATACATAAAATAAAAGTCCATAAATATATCCTGGCAGTTACCACGCATTATTCTTCATCCGGGCATAACAAATACCACTTACCAGTGGTTAATCAAAGAATTATTGTATGAAATGAATTTTAGAATGTGTATTCAAAATATCGCTAAAAAGCGCACTCAAGATTTATTAGATTACATGCTTGAATTCAGCCTTTACAAAAACATCCAACATACAACTTTGTACTTGAACCGTCTTTGCTAAATGTCTTTTCACAGTTAATCTTCGTGAATGCAGTACTAATCTTTGGACGACAAAGAATAAGATGTTCAGATTGGAAAGAGAAGGACAAGAGAATGGAAATTATATGAAACGAGAAATCAAGATTATCTATGAATGAGTTTAAAAAACCTTTACTTTATATATTAAGTTATTTCAAAATCAAACCTTGTAGTACTATCAACACAGAAATACCATTATACGTGGCTTCAGTAATGTCATTTAAAACAATTCTGTAATAATTATATATAAATAAAATCTTATACAATGTATCACACCATAAGGAAAACTCGTTAGTCGGTTTGCAGCAGGTGAAGATTTATACATAGGAAGGATCTATGGCATTTGTTTGTATGTTAAGAATTTAGGGCAAAATACATAAAGGAATAATCAAGTGGATCAGAATTGTATTTATTGGAAAATTTACTTACTTACACCTG